ATGAAGGATTCAGTGAGGCTCGTGTTCTTGCAGAAGTAAACTTGTTACCTGCTAAGACCCGTGTTGCTTCGGGCAGACGGGCAGTAGCCATGGCAACAGGGGTAGTTGACCGAACTTTCAAACGTGGTCAAGTGCAAAAACAAGTCTTGGTAGTTGTGACATCAGGTTGGTCTATAATGTGCTTTGATCATAACCTTCAAAAGCTATGGGAAAAAAATGTTCAGGTGACCTTTTTTTTCATATAAGTTTTGCATAAAGCTCAGTTTCTATGGTCAAACTCTAATACATTCTGTTTTTTTTTTTTTTTTTTCAGGAGGATTTCCCACACAATGCTCACCATAGAGAGATATCAATTTCTGTAAGTAATTATACATTAAAACATGGAGATGCTGGGCTTGTGATTGTTGGAGGAAGGATGGAAATGCAGCCACATGTATGTCTCTTCAACTCTCCTGTTTTTATATTTTCATCATTATAATTTATAACATTGTATCAAATTTGAATAATCATTTCTACACTATTTCAGATGCACCTTGATCCTTTTGAAGAGATTAAAATGGCTGAGGAAAGTGCAGATCAGCATAGAAGAAGCGCAAGTGAAAAAGAAGTAAAGTCTTATTTCTTTATTAACATTTCGTTTCTGATGTTTTTTTTTTAAATAAAATTATATATATATATATATATATATATATATATATATATATATATAATTTTTTTCATGTAGTCTGCAGATGCATCTGCAGCTGTTGATTTACGCCATTTTGCATTTTATGCTTTTGCTGGGAGAACTGGTGCGCTTCGCTGGAGTAGAAAGAATGAGGTAATGATTTTATAAACCATTTGTTATTATTTATTTATAGATTATTTTTTATTCCATTTACTAACATTCATTCTGTTATTAAAAGAATGTGGAAGCTGCTCCATCAGATGAATCTCCACTAATTCCACAACATAATTATAAACTAGATGTTCATGCTCTTAATAGGCGTCAACCAGGAGAGGTACACAAAAATTTTAAAAAAAAAATTATATTTTTTTTACTTTTTACATCTTAAATGTGTTAATGCTACTTAATGATGTGATGATTTGTTCAATTGTAGTTTGAATGCAGGGAATTTAGGGAATCAGTTCTAGGAACCATGCCACATCACTGGGTGAGTACACATCATACATGGTTTTTTTTTTTGTGTTCTGTTTTCATTATCTTTAATTTAAATTTATTTTTAAAATAAATCAGGATAGGAGGGAGGATACAATGCTAAAGCTGGCCCACTTTAGGCGACATAAAAGAAAGTCAGTGAAAAAAACACCTGGAAAATCCTCAACTTACCCATTCAACAAACCAGAAGAAAACCATCCTCCAGGGAAAGACTCTAGTAAAAAGATTTCAAATTTAATTGGAAAAGCTGCAGATTTTGCTAATTCAGCAAAAACTAAAAAAGCATCACCTTATGTTCCCACTATTACTAATTACACACAGCTCTGGTGGGTCCCCAATGTTGTGGTGGCCCACGAAAAGGAAGGAATTGAAGTTCTACATTTAGCATCTGGTCGTACCTTATGCAAGGTATCATCAATCCATATATACATACATACTAAAACTAATACTAATAAATAGATTTTAAATTTTTTTAGCTTCATCTTCAAGAGGGTGGATTGCATGCTGATGTTAACGGAGATGGAGTTCTAGATCATGTCCAGGTTTATAATTATTTAATATAAGATTTAAGTTATTAATTTAAAATAATAATAGTAATAAAGTTATTATTATTATTATGTGCATTGCTGCAGGCTGTTGGGGGGAATGGAGCTGAGCAAACGGTTGTTAGTGGGTCGATGGAAGTTTTGAGACCTTGTTGGGCAGTTGCAACATCGGGTGTACCAGTGAAAGAACAACTTTTCAATGTTTCCATTTGTCATCATTCTCCTTTTAATTTGTTTCCTCATGGGGAATATTCTAGAAGCTTTGGAAGGGGTCTTGATGTAACTTCACTTGAGGTAGCAACACCTATTCTCATTCCTACAAATGACGGCCATAAGCATCGCAAGGGTAGCCATGGAGACATTGTTTTTCTAACAAATCGCGGAGAGGTAAATAATAATAAGGACAATATTGGTAATCTACTCATATAATAAGAAAGTAATATTAGAGTTTGGTGATATGATTGTGTGTGGCAGGTAACGGCTTACTCCCCGGGGTTGCATGGGCAGGAAGCTGTGTGGCAATGGCAGCTGTTGACTGGTGCGATATGGTCAAACCTTGGGTCGCCAGCTGGCATGATGGATGCGGGTTATGTGGTCCCGACATTGAAAGCGTTTCAGTTGCGGATGATGCATGATGATCATAATCAGCAGCAGCATTTGATATTGGCAGCGGGTGAGCAGGAAGCGGTGGTGGTGTCGCCTAGAGGAAGTCTACTGGCGACCATTGAGCTTCCTGCACCTCCAAGTCATGCGTTGGTGGATGCGGATTTTTCGAATGATGGGCTCACGGATATTATTGTTGTCACTTCAAATGGGGTTTATGGGTTTGTTCAAACCAGGCAACCGGGTGCCCTCTTTTTTAGCACACTTGTTGGGTGTTTGATAGTTGTGATGGGGGTTATATTTGTCACGCAGCATTTGAATTCCATCAAGGGGAAACCTCGACTTCCATCTGGAGGAGGTGGAGGACACATTTAGAACCACAGACATATGTTTTATACAAAGATAAGATGGGGTCTGGAATCAAGAATCGGGTGTTTTTATTGATAGTAGTGAACCCTTAGAGACTTAAAAGTGTTTTTATGTGATATTATAGTATTAAGAGGGGTTTTTGTATACCAACTCCTGGACTCCTGATGAGTATCGTCTTTAAAGCACATTTAGTCATCATGTACTTAACTCTTTCCCCATACAAACTTTGCTTTTAGTTTTGTACATTCAAAGCTTATCATTTCAATTTACAACACTTGTCGATTTTGCCGATTAGAAGTCAAAACATGTACTATGATTTATATGCTGCATTTTTTATTGTTATTTTTAACAACCTGATATTTGGAAATATCAACAATAATATCCCACTGAATGGTAATGGAAGTTCCATAACTGGATGTTATTGTAAGCTGGAAAGTATATGATTATGGATGATTGCTTACTTTCACCATTTGGTTTGGCTACCATTTCATCAAATAATAATTCTTTCTATTTGGAGGTTCGGTTTGATTTTTAATTAAAACTTAAAATTTCAGTTTTAAATTGAAAAAACCAAACAGATCTATTTTTTTCCGATTCGGCTATTTGTTTTTTTTCATTAAACATGTTGCTAATAATTAACCAAAAACAAACCACAAAAACAACTAAAATATTTTAAAATTAAGTTTGGTTTGGTTTTTTTTTTCTTCCACCTACAGTCATTCTTCTTTAGATACTCAAATATGTGTGACAACAAAATAAGTAATAGTCTTACAAGCCTAACAAGGAGAAGATCAATATTTCAAATACAACAATTTAAATAAGTTGATGCAAGTTGAAACACAATATCTTTGAAACCTTGAATCAACATCTCACTGCATCAAAGACAATATATGGGGTGACTCACAACCACCAACTTGGTGAAAGTGGTTGGGGAACATCTCAGTTTTCCTGTAGGTGGGACCCAGTTTCTCAATGGTGCTCTAAACTATATTGACATATGCTACAATACAACAGGAAAACGAAAGCTAATTATCATTAATTCATTACTAACATGGTTTAATTTGTAGGTTAAATGCAAGAAATAGTAACGTACCTCCATCTTTCCTTATTATAGCATTGTACTTCCATTTTTTTTCTTATTACCTTACTTTAAAATTATTTTTTATTAGTACATTGTATTTTAGAAAATTCACCCATTATAGCAATGGATAACCTATGACATGACTCAAGTTAACAAGTTTTTATATGTCATGTCGTCATTCTCCACAAATGATGTTCATCTGCAATATATTAATGAGATGGCAATATAATTAATACCTATCCTGATTAACATTTGGTTTTTTAGTTTTCTTCTATCTTTTATATGATAGATCATTAAGCATGCCTGAAAAACTCAAACAAAACAAGTAATTTACTTAAAAGAAAATAGAAGACGACTACAAATATATTTTCATAATTTTAACTTACAATGAATCCATAAACACGTGTTAAATATTTCAATTTTTAACATACTTAAATAACTTAATCAATCAAACCTGTATATAAAACTTATTTGTATAGAATAAAACAAAAGCCATGGGGTTTTCAACAGGTCGATTCTCCGGGTTTCTTTTTCAATTCTTGGTTCGGTTATTTTGTGCATCCCTATTTGATGCTATAATTTAAAAAAAAAAAAATGGTACAAGATTTGAAGTTTGAAAGTGTTTTGTTAAAAAAAATGCCACATCAACAATATATTACAGGTGAACAAGGGTGAATTTACATAGCCAAAACATGTGATGGGCACCTAATGTTGAACTTTTTTAGAGATTATAGGAGCACTTTTAAATGAATAAATTTTGGTTTGGTGCTTTTAATTGCAGTTGTAACTTGTAGTATTTTGAGATTTCATATTTGAGAATTGAGACTTTGAGTCTAATGTCAATCGACAAATAGAGGATGAGCCGGTGACTTGAAGCTTTTTTATGTAGTGTTTGTTCAGAATGACAATTAGATTAGAGTAGGTGTGCTTTGAAAGGAGAAATCAAAAAGTAGTAGAGCCTTTGTTAGTTGAAGTTTAAATAAGACAACTAGCAACACTTAAAAGGGTATTTCATATTTGGGGTATGTGTGTTGGTGCTTTTAACATTATCAATTGATTAATTTCACTTATTTATGGTGATAGAATGTTTATGAAAATTAGGTTGATTGAATGTTTATGAATTTGTGCCGATTATTTTTTATTGTGCTTTTAATGTTGAGGTTTTCTAAAACAAGTTGTTTATCAAAATGACTGTGAAACAACACGTGGAGATAATGAGCAACAAACTCTTTATCAAAATACACTTCCTATAGTATAGATCCAAGAGAAAAACCAAGGATGAAAGTTTATCATTTAGATCAACAAGGTGAAATTATAAGATCCTGCTTGCAAGAAGAATATCATCAAACATCAATCAAACAAACAGAGAGAGATCGGAGGTAGAATTCGTAGATTTAGGTGTGGTTTGTTTTTTCTAAAAAACCACTTCAGATCACTTATTCAGCACACGCGCAACACTTGACCATTTGCAGCTTATTGTTTTTCAAAAGACTTCTGACTTAAAAATTGTTGTGCGTGTGCTGCGTGGCGCAGCAGTAGACCAACTGCTTCAAACCTCTTCACAACTTACTTTAACTTACTACAGCAGTCTGCAGGCGTTAAAAAACAAACTTTTTATTAAATGTTGCAGCCGTTTGGTCCACCTCTTCTTCTACAGAGGGTTGCAGAGGTGGTTCGCAAACTTCAGACATTTTCGTTTCGAAAAAACAAACAGGACCTTAATCCCTATTGGTTTGATGATTCTAAATACCAACAGGAGTAGAAGCCACATTCAATTCATGTTATTTAGTCAATCCAAGAATAAGAATAAGAAACATCATTGGAAGTCCACACACAATATGACAATCCAAAAGTGTCAAATATTCATGATCCAAAAGCAACCCTTAGCCATTGCTTTTGATGAGAAACGAGACTCGTATCAGATTAAATGCTTCAATTGATTGTGTTTGTGTTAGATTCTTATTGCTACTAGGATGAAAGTGAAGACGCATGTAGTGATTGTAACTTTCTTGAACTTGTTCAAATTCTATGCGGATCAAAATAACAAGGGAGGTTGTGTTGTGTTTAATTTGATGCTCCAAAGAATTCACAAATGAAATGTAGTTCAATTCAAAAGGACATAGTACACATTCTGACAAAGGATGAGAAGGGTGAAAGCTAAGGGACGCGTATTTCATATCACAGTCGATTAGGCTAGTAATGGATTCCATTCGTACAAATATTTTGCTTTAAAAGGGTGCAAACTACAAAGTATTCATTTATTTCATATAGGTTTAGTTGGGGATCAAATGCACCTTTACAAATTACAAGTATTAGATTCGACCTTAGTTATTCCTACTTAGTGCAATGTGCACATGATTGAACTGCATTTCATTTGCGGATGCTTTGGAGCTTCAACTTTAAAACAACAAGACCTACTTTTATCATCTTAATCCGCATAGAATTGAAGAAGTTCAAGGAAGTTACCTCTATTAATCAATGAGCCTTTACTTTCATCATGAACCCAAAACATAATCTTTGTCGCAATAGAAATCCAACCCAATCAATAGAAACATTTAATTTGATATGATGCCCATTCACTATCAAATCCATTTGTTTATCTTTATCAAAAAATAAAAGGTGTAGATATGGATTTTTTTTGTTCATCAAATTTCGACACTTTTTGCTTCACATATTTTATGGACAGCATTGTTAAGATCTAGACTTGGTCTTCTAATACAATTCTTAAACCCAACTTTTTTCACCTTGATGTGAACCACCTTGCATTTTTATTTTCGGATTTGTATAGACAACATAAATAGAATGCAGGTTCTAGTTATATTTTTTTACTCATAGCTATAATGGGTAAAAAAATTAAAGTGAAACGCCCTAAAATATATTTTGAAAATACAATGTTGGCATAGAAAATTAAAAGGAGAATGCTATGAGGAAATAAATGGAAACTACAATGCTATTTCTTGCATAATCACATTTGCACTTTTATAATATGCAGGCAATGCCTGAACCGGAGTAGAGTAATTTTAGGTGTAGAGTGTGGTGTAGCATGTTTTGAAGGGTACCTTTTTGACAGAAATGCCCTTGCAATGTTGTTCACCCCTAAAGATGAGCATGAAGCTCAAATTGAGTTTGCTCTTGTCAGAGGCTGCAATTTCTGCTGTCATGAGTTTGTATTAAGTTTTGAAGGGTACCCTGAGACATACAGTCTCCTCCATCAGATCATCTCTTCTCCATGCTAAAAAAGAGATAATTCCAGTGCATACAAAAGCTACATGCAAGTGTAAAATCACACCTGTGATCGTAGAAGTTGATAGAAATAATTGTAAGGCAAGGAGGGAAATTGATTGTTGGTGATGAATCCAGTACAACAGGAGAAGTTGAAAACCTGTTGAAGCCACTAAATTGCAATGTAAATGTTAATGTTTTTATAAGAATCAAGAAAAATTACTCAGTGCCCAGAAGTCAACTTGGAGGCCCAACACATATGCAATGGCTTCATCATCTTATTCATTCAGAGACTAGATATACAAATTGAGAAATTCTAATTTTTGGAAAGTAAATTGATTTGGTAAAACACATCCAATAGACATCACTTTTCTGTGTTTTCACTAGTAAACGATTTACATTTTGCATGCATCAGAGGAAGAAAAGTCAACACTACATCGAAAGGAGGTCGACAGCTTTCAGATATCTCCTTTTTCACTTACTATCCAGGAGCTCTTGCAACTCGCCATTCCTAACAGCTGCTTCAAGATCTACAAGAATAAACTACATATATAAGAAGAAGAAACCTTGTAAATTTATGAAGAGAATATAATATGTAAAAGGAGAAGAAGGCTAACCACTAGCACCACCAATATGCTTTCCATTAACAAATATTTGAGGAACAGTGCGACGGCCAACAAGATCTAAAAGCACATCCTGAATTTGGGATCCATCATCTGAAAATGGCATCTTAACATTTTTAGTGTTACACATTATATCATTGATCATTCCAAGTAAAATAGAAGAAAATGCTAAACCTAGTGAACAATGGAAGATTAGGTGACAAATACCTCGATGATCAAGCTCCACAACGTAAGGTTGCTCTTGTAGTTCATTAAAGATGCGTTTGGCACGACGACAATACCTAAATTCGTGACAAATAACACCGAGTGTTCTCAATATTGATGCCGATAATCAATTGTATCTTCAATATAATTACGCAACAAAACTCATCCTGGTGTATTCCAATCGTATAAATAACAAACTACTAATCACAAACTTCGCAGAGTAACGAGATAAAATGAATGATTTCAAGCAGTCCTGTATATTCAACTCAAAAAATTTCACGATTGTTCTAACAATAGGCATGCAGTCTGTTCAAATATATAAATATGAATCGAAAGAAATCTAACGGGCAATAAGATTTGGAGAACACGGCGATCTTGTTAGAGTATATGACGGTCTGAACAAAAGCCGACGGAGACTTCGAAGCTTCGGCTTTCTTCGGTGCATTGATCAACAACAACAACGACAGCACAATTCCAGAAATTAACAATCCGAACTTATAGCGATAATTCGACCGAGACACCGTCATCGTCTTCATCTCGCTTCGTCTCTCTGTCTCTGTGTTTTAGTTTGCGTCTGAATGTCCAATAAAGAAAATGGTGAAATTAGGCAGGTTCATGGGCTTCAAGCCCTTCGAATTTACATATATGGTCCGCAATGTATTAGGGTTCCAGCTTATGTGTCTCTTAGTTTTAAATTTTAATTTTCTAGTCCCTATATGCGCTCTATGTGATTCTTTTGGAATTAGGCTAATGGGTGTGGATTGCGGTTTGGAACCGCGATTGTGCCATGTCAACCGCAAACACCGCCTTCAGGGTGCGATCTTGGCTGCACTACGGCTAGAAACAACCGCGGCCTGTGATTGGTTGGTGGTCTTGATTCCCTTTTTGACCGTTGAACAATCATTGATTTCGTGTAATTTTTTTTTTAATCTTTACTCTCACTCTCTTTCTATATATATATATATATATATATATATATATATATATATATATATATATATATATATATATATATATATATATATAACCATTATTTACACAACCTAAACCAAAATATTTACTCTTTTCCTCCAACTTTTTTTTAAAAAATGTCTTCTTCCAAAAGGTCCATCAAAAATTAAACACCGGTTAGAAAACACCACCATCCCAATACTTTAATTGATCAACCGATTTTTTTCACCTCCGTATTACCACTACGGCGGTATACTTCCGTATTTTCCACAACGACCAACGCAACTACTACCACAACCCAACCCAGATTTTAATCCATTGATTTTTTGTCTTAACCCGAGTTTGTTCGACAAACACAACCAGAAACGGTCGTTTCTGATTCCGAACAGAAATTCGTTACAGAAACTCAGCCCACTCGAGCAACAACTAAAAGAAAAGAAAAGACGGAGGCTAAATGTTTGGAACCTCTGGAAGTATTAGTTTTGGCACAATCTTGGATCGATATTTCAGAAGATGCGACTGTTGGAAAAGACCAAAAGCATGACCGCTTTTGGATTCGCATTTTACATGGGTTCCATAAAGGAATGAACCGTGGAGAATACCGTACAAAACATCAAGTGTACTCCAAATGGGGATGATGAACAAAGAAATCATGTTGTTTAATGACTTGTATAACAACATGAAACATCAATGAAAAAGTGGAGAAAGTGATCAAATGATTTTGAAGAAAGCTTTGAAAGTGTATCAAAAAGAAAATCTGAAGGCTTTCAAATTTCTAAAAGTTTGGAATTTTTTGAAAGTTAAAAGAAATGGCTGAGTAGCAAAACATCAAACGAGCATATCGACAGTGGTTCAAAACGCAGCAGAACATCTGAGTCCAACCACACTACATCAGATGTTCGTGTTCAATTTGATTTGAACGAAGATGAACTTGTTCCAATTTCACCATATTCCCTACCAACGGGAAGAGATAAAGCAAAAAACAAAGGCAAAGGCAAAACGTCAGATTCAGATGAGTTGAAAGAATGGGAGCCGACATGAAGATCATAAAAGACGAAATGGACAAAATTTTGCAAATTGTTTCTGAAAGAGAGCTTCGGAAACAAAGGGAGAGTGACATGTGAATACTAGCGATGGACACGTCGAATATGACTGGGGACGAGCTTCAAGTTATTTTGGCCATGAAGGAGAAAGTGAAAAAAACGTTACGTAAATCATGGCCTTTTTTTTAGTTTTAATCGTTTGGTGTGTTTTTTTTAATAAGTTGTAGGTTTTATGTTTTTAATATGGTTTTCTAAATTTTTAGTTTTTTAAAGTTAAGCAGTGTATGATATTTGTATTTTTAATTAATGAAATATTATCTTTTTAATATTGTGTTTTTTTTAAAAGAAGTTTTATTAAATTAAAATAGGTAAAAAAACAAAATAAAATAAAATATAAGTGTGACACCACGCCCTTGGTGTGGCAAGAAATCACACTAGTGTGGTAAAAAATGATGTGACGCTTATGTGGCGGTGAAGGAAATGCGGTTTCGATGACACCATTCCCTCAAGTCTAAGCTCGTCTCTATGGATAGTGAAGGAGCCTGTAAGTGTGACATGACACCCACTTTTTCTTTTAACAACTAAATTTTATTCAAAGACTCACAAGCAATGGAGCTAGAAATGGAAAATTACAAAGAAATATAAAGAATATATGATTTTGTATCCATATTGTTGATCGGGTAAAATTTTCGGGTTTCAGGTAGAATAGGTCGGATAGTTCGGGTATTTCTTTAAAATAACAATACCAAATACCCGACCTATATTGTAATTCGAGTTCTCAGGTTTCGGGTATTTGGGTTTTAGGTTGGGTCAAATATTCTCGGGTATACCCGGAAATTACTTAAGTGTCACTTATTGAGGTTTTTTTTTTTTTTTTTTTTTTTTTTTTTTTTTTTTTTTTTTTGCATTTTGGTTGCTTTAATAAAAAATTAGCTAACAAAATATTCCATACAATTAACAAGTACATATACGATAACAATACAAGTCATTATAATATGTTATATGATTTTTGCATTCCATTTTAAATTTTGATTAAAAAAACAATTTATAGAGTACATGATCGGTGTTTGATCAAATTTGGATTAACCAAACATGCTATATAAGGTGTTAAAGCATTAAGATGTTGAGTTTTTGTGTTTTAAGCATTTAACGGGCATGAGAAGTCATTAAGTTGAAAGCTTCATGACTCTTGAGGATATTTTAGCCTTGGATATGTGAATGAAAGAATCAAGTCAAAGAAATAAGTGTTGAATGTGTTAAGAATAAGGTAGTTGCATACGTTGGGCGTACCGTAGGGTACGCTGCGCGTTTGTAGGTATGACCCTGATGCCTCAGACGCTTGTTCGCCCTACGTACCTCTGGAGTACGCCCCGCATACGAAGCCCTCGACCGTGTTCATTCGTTGACTTTGACTTTGACCTAGGGGTATTTTGGATTGTGTTTGAGAATTGGTCATTTGGATGGATAGGTGATGGTTAGAGTTGAGATTCAAAGTTGGGACCTCATTAGCTTTGTTCAGACTGTGAGGTGAGTTTCCTCACTGTACTTTCGGGTCGAAGACACCAAGGTCATCCCATTGGATTGATATCATGGTTTACCATATGTTGTTATGTTGTAATGATATGTTAGATCGGTATTCTAGTTTATAGGATGCTGCTATGTGGCATATGCTGTTATGTGGCAGTGATCTGTAGATCTGCATGTATGCCTGTTAAATGATTGTTTGTTTATCTGTAATGTATATTTCGACATATTGTGTTAGGTTGAGGTTGTACTGCTTTGTGTTATAGCCAACAAACCCGTGAGCATTCCAGATATGAGTTGAGGGCTGATTGGCATGCCAGACTCATATTGAGGGCTCAAAAGCATTCGAGATACGAGTTAAGGGTCCGGTTGGTATGTTAGACTCGTATTGAGGGCCCGAGGGTATTCCAGTCCGATGACTGAGTGGACCTGTTGTATATTAGCATTCCAGTTCGATGATTAATTTCACCCAACATGCTTGTTCGATTATGTTATGTATTTATGTGGTGGTATTTCGAGGGAAACTCACTAAGCGTTGACTTACAATTTTTAATTATAGTTTCAGGTACTTTCGATGATCATGAAAATGCAAAGACATGACCGTACATATCTAATTAATAATTGATATTGGAAAACTCTATTTTGTACTACGTTTTGAACACAATGACTTTGTAAACACTTTTATTATTAAATGAGTTGATTGGAAAAGTTTAAATTGGTCGTGATTTCTGAGATGTTACATGTCAAACTTTCAAAAATTATATTTTTAACCTAGATTTTAAATTTCATTACAAATTGGTCCAAAATTCACACTTTTTTGCCTATATCTCAATTTTTTTTTTTTTTTTTTATAAATTCATCCTAAATTTTGTTTTTTATATTTTTTTTCCAAATTTTTGTTTCGAATATGTTTCTTTGCTATATAAAAATCATATTTATACAAAAAAACATTTTCACAGAAAAAAAAACTATATTTTTGCTATACAAAACAATTTTTTTAAAAACATTTTTTAATGCAAAGTGTTTATATATTTTTATAAATATATATTGTGTGCACTTGTTTTTTTTTTATTTTTTTTTATAAAAATATGATTGTATAAAAATTAAATCATGAAACCAAAACATAAAGACTTTAGGGAGTTTTCCCTAAAAAAATATTGTATATATAATCAATTTGGAATTTGGATAGCTTTTATTGGTTTTTATCACAAATGGGTCGCTTTGATTGTTTATTGCTTTAGCAATGTTTTTCTCCCTTATATTTTCCCCCAGGTTCTTGGTTTTTTTATAAATGTAATTTTTGTGGTCTTTTAAAAAGAAAAAGAAAAGGTTTTAATCAATTGTTAGAATTTATTTTAATTGTTTTTTAAAAATTTCGTGTGATTATGGCGTGTTCAACAAAAATAATTGATAGCGGGTAGCTTGTAGCTGGTAGTGTTTTGTTAAACGCTACGTAAAATAACATTTTGTTTAAACCAAACGCTAGAAGTTTATAGTGTCAAATGAAACTTTATATATTCAAAACGGAAGGGTTTATCAAACAGTAGAAATTAGAATCCCTCAAACGCTTTATGCCGAACACATTCTATATTGAGCATATGATACTTTACAATGGTGTTCGCGGTGCGGTTTGGTGCGGTTTCGAGTCGAAACCGCAAACCACACCGCATGTGCGGTTTGAAATTTTAGAAAACCGTAAACCGCACCGCGAAGGTTCTAAACCGCGTTATGTGGTGCGGTTTGGTGCGGGCGGTTTGTGCGGTTTGAAAAAGGATATGTATTTTTAATATTATGTACATAAAATTTATACATAAATATATTAGTTATAGAATCAAGATAAGTTGGTTTTGCCAATGTTTTAACAATACTAGTCATTGTTACATTAGACAATCAGATAAATAATCTATCACAAATTTGTTTACAAAAATTGAAATTGGTGATATCAAAATTCATTAGTAATAAAACCAAATTCGTATCTTCTGTGTAATTTTTATGTGTTTGTATTATATATATATATATATATATATATATATATATATATATATATATATATATATATATATATATATGCGGTGCGGTTTGAATCGCATTGTTATAATTGGAAACCACAAAC